ATGACAATGTCATCCAATGAAAATACGAGTTGCTTAACTCTTATAATTCTAATTCTGAGCTAGCAAATGCTTTACCTAGACCGTTATTCAGAAGCTACAAACCTATCGATGAAAATATGCATGAAAATTTACTTCTTAGCACACAACCAAAGGATGTTAGTACCCAGGTATCAAGTTTATTATAATGTTTTTCTTAGCTTTAAACCAAAGGTTTTTGGTGTTTGTGCGATCCGTGTGTATAATTATTTAAAATAGATTATCTGACAACTTATTTTATATACAAATTTTAAATAATGCTACAAATTACTATTTATGGTGTGACATTAAACATCAACTCTATTCTCATAGCTTCATACAGATTGTAGTACGAGAGCTAGCAACGTCGGAAACAAGTATTTTAAAACGTCTGGCTCTTTGATATATATTTTACTATGCTTAGAAGATAGGGAATTCGTCTGGCTGCCGGTAACGTTGCTTTCCTTACTGCGCATTAAAGAAGATCCTATATTTTATTAGTCCTTTAAATTGTAGTATTGAATAAAAAGTATTGAACATGTCTCCATAGAGCAGTGCGTAGAGTTTCCGACCACGAACCGAGGATTTAGAGTTCGAATCCTGGTCAGGGCAAAGATTTTTTATTTTATTTTCGTTTATATTCTGATAGTAACGTATTAAATATTTTTTTTTTATCACCAGAATTATTTAATACTTTACTATCAGAATATAAACCAAAATAAAATAAAAAAGTCTTTGTCCTGACCCGGATCTGAATCCTCGGTTCGCAGTCGAAAACTCTACACAATGCGCTATGAGGCATGTTCGATTTATATTCAATACTAGAATTTATAGGACTAAATTAAAAAAAATATAGGATCTTCTTCCGATACGCAGTAGTGAACGCAACGGGTATCGGCAGCCAGACGGGCCGCATGCTGTTCCTGAGAGCATAGTAAAAGATACAACAACAAACAAAAAAAACAACGCTTTATTGTACAAAAAGCCAAAACCGCTTCATCGACAAAGCACTCACAAAAAAATACAAACAACAAAAAATACACGATACAAATAATACAATTCAAAACAATTTAAGTCATTAAAATAACAAAATGAATATACATAGATAATTGTAGAACAGTAAGCAGTAGACAGATGTAATTTTAGAGTTATAAAATATTAAATACTTGAAAGACCTTTGACCAGTATGTGAGATAATCAAAATTTTAAAATTCAAAATTGTTCATAATTAAACATCAACAGAAAAGTTGTTTACCGTATAAAGGGCTCTCTCCAGTAAGTATGATTTTAGAGCTTTGCAAAATGCGGGAAAGAATGAAAGCGACTTGATATTCAAAGGCAGATGATTGTACATTTTTTTGGCATTGTACAGTATTGAACCTTTAACTAGTTCTGAGCTCGGGGTTGGCAGATAAAGATCGTGATCATTCCTAAGTGGATAGATATGAGATGGCCTTTCGGGAATAGCAGATATGTGCTTGCGGATTAAGCAAACGGATTCAAAAATGAATAAAGAAGGAAGAGTCAGTATTTTGAATTTTTTAAAGAAATTCTGGCAGTGAGTTCTACTGTTCGGTCCCAATAAATATCGAACTGCTCTCTTTTGAAGTCTGAAAACACGATCAAATTTTGTGGCGCAGCAAGTACCCCAGAATGGAAGGGCATAACGAAGATGAGACTCAAAAAGGGCATAATAGGCTATTCTAGCGGTTGAGAAGTTAAGTTCCTTAAAAACTGATCTTAGCGCAAAACAGGCAGCGCTTAGTTTCTTGATAGAGCTTCGATGTGAAAGTCCCATTTTAACGAGTTGTCTAAGAATAAGAATTTCAATTTCATTTTTTTTTGTCAGTCCTAAGAATTTCACAGAGTCCACGACGTCAATAGTGGTGTTATTAAGTATAAAAGGTTGTTTTATATGACAAAACTTTAGTTTTTGATAGGTTGAGGCAGAGGAGATTAGAATCGCACCAAGATTTAATGGTGCGTAAGTCACTGGATATATTTAGTATCATTGTAACATCTGGGCCGCTCCAAGTGAAACTAGTATCGTCCGCAAAGAGGCCGATTTTACCGCTAATGTCTAGATTTGCAATGTCGTTGATAAACACCAGAAACAAAATAGGGCCAAGTACTGAACCCTGAGGGACACCATATTCTATAGGCTTACAAGAAGACATAGACGTATCAATCCTCACAAGCTGCCTTCTGTTGCCAAGATATAACCATAGGATTGCAATTTGTTAATTAAAATATTATGATTTACATAATCGAAAGCCTTAGAGAAATCACAGAAAATTGTAGCTGTAGAGTGATGGTTATTTAGGCTAGAGTATACATTATTAAAAAAGTCAAACATAGCATCATTTGTGCAACTGTTACTTAGAAATCCATATTGATGGGTAGTAAGTATTTTATATTTAAGATAGATATCTTAGATAATGTGGGCAGGAGTGCAATTGGGCGATAGTTCGAAGCTTCATCTTTATCTTTATATATCAAAGAGCCAGACGTCTTAAAATACTTTCTCGAAAACGTTGCTAGCTCTTAGACTATTGTACACTGTGTATACAATCAAAATCAGAATACGTGCCTCATAAACCAGTATATTGTGACAAATTTCCATAAATCTGACACTCGCAAACGTTCCGTCGAGATTCAAACGGGCTTCTCGTTCACAATAAGAAAACGAGATAAGTATTATTACAGTCAGGTGCGCGGCAAAATAGCTCCGTTAGAATAGCATAAATTATTAATCAAAATATTTGGATTCTCGTGCAGTCCCGATGGCCTGTTCCTAAGCGAGTACGCCGGCTGTAGAATCCGTACATATATCTAAACACTAACTGTGTATGTTTAAATTTATGCACCTAAAGCCGTGTTGCACAGTCTACAGCTCCGAGCATCTTAGCAATGCGAACTTCCAACTGAGGTAATTTATACGGACAGTAGTTTAATAGGATTTTCGATATATCACCCACTTATATAAGCGCGTAGCTACGTGTGCGGTGTTGGTTCAATGGCTATTAAACACCAATTCATAACTTGAAAATTAGTTAATATTAGGGTGTATCAGACTTTGGAATCGGATGCAATACACCTAAGCAATAAATTAGCTCGATTTACCATCTGAAACTTGTAAGGAATATATTAATAAAGCGACTGTCCGTTTTGAATTCAGAGCTCTAACAAAACTCTTTTCTCAAGTTAATTATACTTAGTAGTAGTTTTCAGAAAGCGAAATTTAAGTTCAGATTGACTTTTTACACCCTTTTATATTATTTTTATACAGTTAAATGTAAGCGCAATATACAGGGTGGTCCGAACTGTATTCAGGAAACTTCGGCAGCATATTCTGCAGACAAAAATAAGTAAAAAAGTTCGTATAAAGGTATGTCTTAAAATGTTTAGTTTCGGAGATGCAGGGTGTAGAAGTTTCATTTTTATTTCGATATTTTCCAAATAATTTCTGAAGTAACATCAATATTTGGATGAAAATTGGTGTCTGGGAGTTTTTTGATATGAGACATTTGATTTTGATGTCAATATGACTCCTATTTGTTTGTTGTTCAAAATAGTTAAAACACCTGTAAGTGGCGCACAGGTGTTTTAACTATTTTAAAGAGTAATAACTTTTCGTTCGTACCTATATAAAACTACTGAGTGAAAAAATATACATTTACGTGACTTTCTACGTAAAAAATGTCTCTTGGTAAAAATCGCTACGAGCAACCGTTCTCAAGATATTTAGAATGGAAATAGTCAAAACATATAATTATTGACAAAAAATAAATTTAAATAATTTAATAATTAATTCATATTGACATCAGAATACAATTTTTCATGTCAAAAAACCCCCAGACACCAATTTTCATCCCAATACTGAATTTAGTTCAGGAATTATTAGGAAAAAATTGAAATAAAAATGAAACTTCTACACCCGGTATCTTCGAAACTAAGCATTTTAGGACACACATTTATACGAACTTTTTTACTTATTTTTATGGGTAGAATATTATGCTACCATAAATGGAATGCGCGGGGGGGGGGCTAGATTTTGTAATTTATGGTAATATGTATTGTATATTTTTATAATTCTGTTTTTTATTTGACGTAATTTCACTTTGTTTATAAAATATAATTTTGAAATAATGAAACCTTATCAACTATCTATCGTACTACGCAAGAACCACAGATGTTCAATGTCCAGTTTGAAATGAACACCAGTTTATTTCGGAGATAATACACAGAAACAACATACGTCCTGGACATGTGTAGTTGTTGCTTGTGGCCTATTTATGCAACAATATTTCTATGGCCCATAATAACTACCAATAATTAGAGAATATCCATAATTATGTGTAAACTTTCTACAGGGAGACTTTTCCACGATATTCTCTATGGGCACCTCGGAAAATACTGAAACTAGAAAGTTGGTTAGCTGAACAAAGAATTGCAGAATTGCAGATTGTATTCGTTGAAATTTAGAAGAAAATCATTATCACAAATTATGACACTACTAACTATATTTTTGACACAATTTTCTCGTAATGGGCATTATTTTAAACTTAGGAAAATGATTTTATTATTTATTTATTATTCTAGATTATACGGGCAATTTAAGATTAAGAACCTTTATTCTTCCGCAAACATATCGATAGGATTAGATCAATAGGCACTAAATCCGGCGGCCTCGACGGCCCACAGCTGAAATCTTGATTAGCTATTCAATTATTCTCTAAATTGGCTACTAAATTTTCCGGAATATAGTTCGGACCACCCTGTATGTTCATTTATTTTTATATTGTATATGAGCAAATGAATAAAAAAAATTGGAGAGAGTAAATGAATATGATCGTAGTATCTGTTTTGATTTTATTTAAGGTAGTTTTTTTAAGTTTATTTACTTTCAAAATCCGTTAAATCTTTTTCATAATAAAAATTAAATACAACTTAGTTAAATTAGTATTAATATAAGGAATTCTTACCTAATATCATAGTCTTTTTCAACTGTGATGATTAGCACATAGTCTGATCTAGCATCCTCCTGAAAAGAATAAAATTAGGAATTAGGAATTTCAAGTATTGATAATATTTGTAAACATGTTATTTTGTAACTAACAATTTTCCTAATTACCGTATATAGTTACAAATCTCTTAAAAAATTGGTAAAAAGTAAAAATAAATATGTAAAAATATGTAAAAATTAAAAAAAAAACGATTAAAAAAAGTCGCCTTGACTAGGATTCGAACCTGCCTTACTACGGCTCCAACGTCATAGCAGCGTAAAGTCGTAACGCTTTAACCACGCGGCCACCGAGGACTTGAAAGATTCTATGTAAAATTTTTACTTAAAAGATAATGTTTAGTTAAAGTACTTTTTTATTTATAAACATTTACTTAATTCTGTTTTTAGTATTTCTTCTTATAGCGGCAACATAGATACATTATCTGTCAAAAGTTCAACTGTCTAGCTATAACGGTTCATAAGGTAGACCTTTGTTACAGACGGACGGACAGCGAAGTCTTAGTAATAGGGTTCCCGTTTTTACCCTTTGGATACGGAACCCTATAAAATGCTAAATTAGTGCTGAAGGGGTATTTTTCCCACACTAAACCAATGAACACTGGACAACAAACAAAAAATGTAATTTGCAAAGTACCATGTGAATATGATAAATTTTATATTGGTGAAACATCTAGATCTTTAAATGTCCGAATTAAAGAACATAAAGATTATTAAAAAAGAGCAATTTTCGAATATATATAATAATATATAATATATAAACATTGATCACAAAAAGTTAAAAAAAGCGACAAATATACTAAAACTATTATTCATACGGGCGACTAAAAATACCTGTAAATGTTGGTTCAGTTCGAAAAATTGCTAAAATGAATTAATTCAGAGCTTGTTTGTTTTTGCTAAACATATATACCGTTGATTAAAATGTCACGATAGTAAACAAAATTGGTGCAATATTACAGAGACCGTCAATTTATATGAGGTAAAAGCCCGGTTGTTAACAGCAAAATAAAAATAAGCGGCGTAAAGCAATTTACATTAAATCGATTGTAAAATTATTAAATTTCTATTTTTGGTAGTGAATTTGCATACCCGAAATATGGGACGAGTTTAATCATCCAGGAAATGAGTATTGAAATCATTTTTATTTTGAGAAATAGGAACATAATATCGACTCCTTTTATATTTATGTTTTTATCTACGTCAGTGAGTTAAGAAGCTCTTAACTCACGCATTTTGAGTGAGTTAAGAGCTTCTTAACTCACGCATTTTCATTACCGCACTCCTTGTTTATATGAATACCAAAGAGAAAAAATTATTTTGTAAAACATTTATTTTGCACTAAATACCTACTAAATACAAATAAACTGTTGATAATAACTATAAAACATGAAAATTTATTTATTATAAATGTTAATGATACAGTTTGAAAAATCTTTCAAGTAAATGCCTGATGAAGAATATATATTCATATTAATAGATATCATAGTACGTGTCATTGAATAGAAAGCCCAAAGAGACGAAGGCTCATAAGTAGCAGATAAATTGCAAAAATATGTTATGAATACCTTTTCATTTCCATAGTTGTGTACTTTCTTTTGGTGCACCATTTTTCATACTTAGAGTATGTATATTCATACTTCTGTTTCGATCTTGCTGGAAGCAATCCAGAAATGGCTCTGAATGCCTCTTCTTCAATGTCAGAGGGAATACTTTCCGAATCGATTATTTTTTAAACTAGTGACATCAATATTATTTACTGTCATATTGACATTGTCATGCATGGTGTTTTTGAACAAAAGTATTAAGGTAATTGATTTTTAGGATAGGTATGTAGTTAAGTACAATAATTTTTAAACTTTATTGTGTGTTTTTTATAGTTAAACGTAGATAAAATATTGTACAATACACGCGAGTTCACTCCATTGGATACTTGTGTGGTTCAATCAAACAACACACAAAAAAAAATTTACTAAAAATTAAATTTCCACTCACACCATACCCACTTTCCTTCATTTAACTATTCATATTAAAATTACCTCTCACGTTTGCTCTCCAATGTACGAACTAATCAAATTCCCAAAATCACTCTCTGCCCCTGAACCTCCTCTCCTGCACGACATGATCCTTACTTTTTGCACTTCAAACACTCAAACTGGAATTAGTGACCCAATAAACTAATTGAAACGGGTTTCTGTTCTAGTTAGTTATTCCGATTCGGAATATTGCTATGAGTTTGCCCAAAATAGATGACTGGATAAGGGAATGAAAGCATTAAACCGCCTGGCTTGAGAAATAATATATTCAAGAATTAAAAGCAAGAGATGGTTGAATTGTATTTTAGTATAGTTTTCCTAGCGATACACGATGTAATAATTAATTAACTTGGTCGAAGTAATTAATTATTAATCACACAACAGATAATTTTTTTTCACAATATATTAGTCCAAGAGTCGGGGGCAATAACAAATCAATAATTTTCTGAAGGCTCATATTTTTACAATCGATTGCATTTTAGTGTTAAATACGAAGGTACAGGGTGGCTCGAATTCGACGCTCATCATTGGGATTTCGGAAACCGTAAGAGATACAGGATCGGTTAAATGGAGGCAAAGTTGTGCAATTTGATGCTTCATAAAATGCCGTATTGCATTTTGAAAAATTCCGAATACTTCCGAATATATTCGAAAAAAACGGAATGTTCAATTTTGTTTTCTATTGTTTCCTCTGGCTTTATTTGTTAAGATAACTTAAAATGAAAAACACATTTTCATGGCCACTTTTTCTGCTCTACAACTCTGTGTGATTAAATATTGACTCTGACGTTTCGGCTTCTGGCGACCATCATCAACTTAATTTTTTTAAACACCGACCTGATTTTTTTTTCAATTTAATGCAATCCTTTCATCGGTCTTAAAACACTATATATAGTCACTTTGATATTTTTGCCGACGTTTCGTACAGAAAATTCCATCACCAGAATATTTTATGCCAAAAAAAAAACCTGGCACTGAGAAGGCGCGCAAAGGTGTAATTTTAATTAACGCCTTAAAACTGTTTTCTGCTGAACATTTGTAGATAACATTCGAAAGCAATGTAAAACAAAAATATAACAGTCAGATAGCAGTATGTGAATGTGGACAGAAAGCGTCTCAAACGCGCTGTCAAAAAAATTCGGAAAAAATTCACCCAGACTGATCATTGAAAGATGAAACTTTGCAAGGTAATAGTGAAAACAATATATTTATTAATAAAAATAGTCAGACTCGTCGATAGTATATAAAACCCCGTCAGTTAGCAGCTAATGGTGACAATAGTGACAGCGCACGTATAGGCGGTGCCACGCGTTTCCTTCGAAGGAAATTGATTTAAAATAAATGTTAAATTGTTAAATTTAAAAATTATTAAATTGACAAGAAAAATTATGAAATTAAAATTTATAGAGAACCGAAAAAAAGGAAATAAATAAAACAAGGTCTTATTAAACTGTGGAGTGTGCGTGCAAATAGGCCCTAGCTCTGCCGAAGAGATGGGGTGGGTTTTTCAAGCGCCACTGGCTTTGCACAGGATAAGCCAGAAAACCCCCAAGATATTCTTGGAATCTAACAAGACTTGTTATTAAAAAAAATTTATTAGAAAGATAAAAAAATAAGGGATGAATAAAACACTAAGATAAGTTAATAGAGTATAGTATAATGATATTAAATAAAAAAATGAACCAAATTTGATGACGTTATATATGCTAAATTTAATTAAAAATTGAAAACCGAACCGTATGTACCTTGAACCCTTGAACCTTGAATCAATATAATATAAAAAAAGGTATGCATTACTTAGAATTAAAAGTAAATTCCAATAACCATTCAAACACAAACATACCAAACCTTATGCGGGTGACGATGCATACACAATATTACGGAAAGGATGTCAATTATGCAATCAATAATTATCAGAAAATACAAACATCCGAACCTAAAGGAAGTACTGCTCAACCTGACAACAGCGTGTGTGCGCCGAATACACTAATCTCAACTGATCTGAGCAATTCAAATTTAAATGACATTATTAATAATAATTGTTAACCTTACAATTTGCAGAAAATAAACAAATGATAAATTTCAATAAATATGCAGGTGAATAACTTTATTTTGGGCTCTATAATGAAATATAGGATCAAATAATATTTTAGAGACAATCCACACTTGTTAATAAATCTTCTAAGATAATACAAGGGCAAGCAGTACCGTAGAACTACTAGAAATTACGGCAAATAGGCTAACATTCAGAAACGTAAACAAGTCCAGGAAATAAAGTAATGTTTTGGTGAATTTGAATATATTAGCATAAGATAATACATTTTAATTATATTTTAGATCATTACCGATTGATTACTGATTGATATATGGCATGGAAAGCAAAATAAATTAAGCAAAGGAGAGTAAGAAAGATAATGAAATATAGCTGTAATGAATATTTGTTTATAAAAATTAAATGCAATAAATTTATTTATCAGCATAAATAAGAGTTTGATCCAACTTGTAAGCAAAATTGGTATATATTTTTTAAACCTAGTTGAAGCTAAATTTGGACTGTTACAGCGGGACTTTACTCAATATACAGGGTGGTGCGAACTGTATTCCGGAAACTTCGGCAGCATATTCTGCACATTAAAATAAGTAAAAAAGTTCGTATAAATGTATGTCGTAAAATGCTTAGTTTCGGAGATACAGGGTTCTGAAATAACTTCAATATTTGGATGAAAATTGGTGTCTGGGAGTTTTTTGGCATGAGAAATTTAATTTTGATGTGTCAATATGACTCCTATTTGCAAGGGGCGCCACCTATATGTGTCTTAACTTTTTTGAAAAGTAATAACTTTTCGTCTGTACCTGTATAAATCCACTGGGTTAAAAAATATACATTTCTGTGATTTTTTACTTCAAAAATGTCTCTTGGTAAGAATCACTACGAGTAACCGTTCTCAAGATATATAGAATTTAAATAGTCAAAAAAATGTCATTATTA